TATATATATATATATATATAATAGTTTAGGTGTGAGATATATAAATACATAAAAATTGTGTGCTACACATGTAAATGCCTGAAGAAGAATGTTAGAAGTAGAGTAAGAGACTGAACTAACCTTCTGTTCTTCAACGACTCTGAGAAAATCTTCGTTGGCCTTCTTCTGCTCCAAGGAAGCCAACTCGAGTAAACTATTTTTCATAGTATTCTGCAAGTTCAAGAAAAAGTGAGCATTATTTCCACATTGCTACATAGAAAAAGAAAGTTGGTGAATATATGTGGGTGGCACTACTTGTCATGCATAATTAGGCTTAAATTATGGGCTCATCCGACAATTTGGTTAAATGTATTTAGTTTTCTAGCAAACTAATCAATTAAAGCATAAATTTTATTTTGTATCAACAGCCATAAATTTTTTTATTGCAAGTCAGTGGCCCCTCTGAAGCATAAAATGAGAAAGTGATGTGAGATACAGGTTTTCCCGCGATAAGGTGATAACGCGAAACGGCGATATCATCTCCCACGATCACAGGAGTTTAGCGCCTACGTTCCTGCTTCCTTTTTATTTTCCTTTCCTTTACTTTCAACTAATTTCTTTCTTCTGTATTTCTTACTTTCCTATTTTCTAATTAGACTATTTCCTATTATAGTTCAAAGTGATGGTGATATAGATGGGGATGTTATTAGTAGAATTCAAGTTGGATGGTTTAAGTGGAGGAATGCATCGGGCCCATTGCGTGATAGAAAAGTATTGCTTCTACTTAAAGAAAATTTTTATAAGATGGTGGTGAGACCTTCAATGCTATATGGCGCAGAATGTTTGCCTATAAAAGAGAAGCATAAAATTCATGTAAGAGTTGTTGAGATGAGAATGCTCAAGTGAATCAGGGGCTTGGTACTTACAGACAATGTGAAATGAATATATTCGTTAAAGGGTTGGAGTAGCTCCAGTGGCAGACAAAATTAGAAAGTCACCTTAGATGGTTTTGTCACATTAAATTTTGACCATCTGATGACCCTATTAGAGAGTAGATGTTTTAGATTTGTGTTAAGAAAGGTAGAGATTGACCTAAAAAGACTTAGGCATGTAATATTAAAAATGATCTTCATTCATTAGAACTAAATGAAAATATGACACTTAATAGGACACAATGGAGAAAAAGGATTCATGTAACCGACCTCACTTAGGGCAATAAAGGTATATTGTTGTTGTTGCTATTTCTAATTAGAAGACTTTTACAAATGTGTATTGCACTATTAGGGTTTTCATTTTTTTTTTATTTTATGAATTATGAGAAATTTCTCTATGATTAACATTCTCTAGGGTTGTAACATCTTCCATTGGCAAGCGGTGTGTCTATAACTTGCCAAAGAACATGTGGTGGATCCCCTCTATCGTCTGCACCTCGTTGATTCATTCTTTTGTCCACAATTTTTAGCCGGACAGCCGTCGATGCTGCCATCACCAGTTGTTTCAATATGAAACACCCATTTTCTGCCTCTAGTTCGTTATCTCGTCGTCGTTTACACCAATTTTCAGTCGTTATCTATCCTCCCCACTAATGTAATCAATCCTAAAACTTTTTCAACACCTTTTATGTTATCTCATACCTTCTAAGAGCCCTAGAATGGTGTCATTTGGTATCAGAGCCAACTGAATCTCACTTGGAAGGACGATATGCTATGCCGCCAAGGAGAAACCTTCAACAAGTGCTCATAAAAATACTATTAAGGAAATGCAACAAAAAAATCCTCTAATTACAATGTAGGCTTGCTGATTTTGAAAGAAGGTTAGCATAGGAAAATCACCCCAGCAACAACAATGACCACCCAAATAAAGGAAGAAGAAAATCCTTTCCACCAAGAAACTTCAAGTGATGAAGAGCTGATGCCACACTGATTCAGCATTGGGTATAGGAGGAGAGAAGGTAATTTTGGAGTAAAGGTAGATGTACCGAACTTCGACGATCGCATAGATAGGGACGAGTTCATCAAATTGCTCCAAACAATGGAATAGGTCTCTAAATACAAGAATGTCTTACCTGATAGAAGGGTAAAACTAGACGTCATCAAGCTAAAAAAGATGGCATCTCTATGATAGAAAAACTAGAGCGCATATGCCAGTGAGAGGAAAAAAGTAAAATCAAAGCCTGGTCCAAGCCGAAAAGTAAATGCAATGTAAGAACCAACAATTACAATACAAACATGACGTGTTCATGAGGCTTCATCACTTATAGTATAAAGATCCTTCAGTAGAGGAGTACACTGTTGAGTTCAAACAACTTATATTGAAGTGTGCGCTAGTGGAACCAGATAATCTGGAGGACTGAGACTATCCATTAGCAATGTGATACAATTGTAGCCCTTTTGGACTATACAGTATGCCCAGAACTTAGCCCTAAAGGTGGAGAAACGACGCTACGACATCAAGTCCACACCACCTTCCAAATTGGAATCAGCCTTCAGACCAAGTAACAAGAGCACACCAACCAGAGTACCTAAACCTATCACTCATGTAGAGGAACTGGCACAGGAGGAAAAGAAGACTAATCAGACAAGAACTCGAAAAATATTTTCAGCCAAGAAATATTTCAAATGTCATATCGCATCCAACTGTCTGAACATAAGGTTGATTTATTCTCCTTTGCAAGGTGTAGTGTAAGAGGTCGAGAGTAAAGACCCAAAAGAAGAAAGTGGAGAGGAGTACCAGCTACCTACATATGACAATGAGATGATTATGATTTGACGAGTTCTCCAAACCAAGCCTAAACGGGATTAGCATTGACTCGAGCATAACAACTTCTATACCCGTTATACTGTAAAGGGGAAGGTTGCACAACCTTATCTTAGATGGAGAAAGCAATGAAATTGTGGTATTTATGTAGATGATGGATAAATTGAGCCTCTCTGCAAAAAACACATACCCAATCATAATCTCTGACTTGGTCGAAGAAGGAAAATAAGATCCTTGTGAACAAGATATTTAATGGAATTTTCAATTGGAGACAAGCTGCATGATCAAATTTGGTGTGATATCGTCTATTAGAAAGTGTAAATCCGCATTAGGGATGAATTTATTTCCTTTCTTCAAAATATATTTCACTAATGTTTTTTATTAGATTTTTTTTCCTGTTTCTCTAATTTGAAGGGATTCTTATTTGGTTTCCTTTCTTTATTAAATACATGTTGCAAAGTGTAATGCATGAGTTGAGAGAAATAAAATTTCTTCAATAATTTTACCTTCTATCAGAGAACTGAAATCGATTTCGTTAGGTCGTAGCCTTATTCCTCATCGTCGACGAGGGTGGATTTATAGAAACCTCTGAAGCTATCGTTCGACACCATCCTTACATAAGCACGCTAAAGGTCATTATTTTTACTCTAACGCATTTCTGGCTCTTATGTGCGTTATCGTTGCTTCGCCTCCCGGACGAGATCGCAAAGCTTGTCTCCGCTTCTTAAGTTATGTTCAAACACATCAATAGATTGTCCACTCCAGTCGAACAACACACTCGCCTGATCCTCTTCTGTTCGAACAGGATAGCAAAAGCTTCTCCTCTCATAGGCACGAGCCAGTCATATAACTCAACTATATTCCTACACTCGACGACCTCAAACCGCTAGTACACTCACCAAAGCACTATCAAGGGTCAATCATGATGAATTGAAGTCCAAACTTAGTTTGTACAATATATATAACCTAGCTTGAGGGGGAGTACTGAAAAGTGTCAATCTGCATTCGGAAGGAATTTATGCCCCTTCTTCAGAATATATTTCACTAATTGTGTTTCCTTTATTATATATTTCATTTTCCTATTTTTCTTACTTTGAGAGATTCTTAGTTGGTTTTCTTTAATTATTAAATATATATAGCAAGATGTAATCCATGAATAAGAGATACAAAAATGTTTCAAGAATTTTACATCGTCCCTACATATGCAAGTCATATTATGTTGGGTGGATTGTGGTCACACAAGAAAGGTACACTTCATGATGGCCACAAAAATATCTACACTCATAAGGGATGGGGAACGTATTGCAAATTTGTCATTAAAAGAGTCAACGGTAATGAGCAATCAGATAGAGATTAGAGTCATCGTCCCTTGTGTTACCTTTCTACAGACTATAAGAGAGGCACCAGTAGGATTGGCCCAAGTGATGCTAGAAGGCAGCGGTATGGATAAGCCACCCTTGTTGGCAGAGCTTCGAAATGTTCTGAAGGACATTTCATCTGGATTACCACCCTTACGAGAGATTCATCATGCTATAGACCTTATCACTGGGTCAGTGCTTCCCAACCGAAAAGCCTATCAGTTGCGAGCATCAGAGTACGAGGACCTACAAAAGCAAGTTGAGGACTAATGGCTCAAGGACTAGTTCAGAAGAGGATCAACCCGTGTGTTGTGCCAACTTTAATTGTGCACAAAAAAGAAACGAGAACAAGATCATAATCAAATATAAATGTGTATCAATAGCAGAGTTGTGAACAAGATCACAATCAAATATAAATTCCATATTCCAAGTTTTCATGATTTGCTTGATCCTTTACATCTCCAAGCTTGATTTTCGTAGTGGCTACTTCCACATCAGAATAAGACCAATGGATGAGTGGAATGCATCATTTAAGACACAACATGGATTGTATGAGTGAACAGTCATGCCTTTTGGATTGTCTAACGCCTCGAGTACTTTCATGTGACTGATAAATTAGATTTTTTGAGCCTCGTTGGAAATTTTATGTTATGTATTTTGATGACATACCAGTGTACATAAGTTCAAAGGAGGAGCACTTACAGGATTTGTGACAAGTTTTTTGAGATTCTCCGGGCATAGTAGTTATGTGGCCATCCAAAAAAAGTCACTTTCTTACACCGTAGATGTGCTTTTTGAAACACATTGTTTGCGTTGTCAGCATTGAGATGGACCCAACGAAGATTGAGGTTATTGTGGCCTGACCCAGACCCTAGTCATTTACTCAAGAATGTCGGTTTCATGTTTTGACTTTTTTTGATAGGATATTTATCAAAAATCTTAGCTCGATCTCTTCACCATTGACGGAGCTTCTCAGGTCTGATAAATTTGTGTAGTCAAATAATGCTCAGACTACTTTTAATGCTTTGAAGAAACATATGACTCAAGCTTCTATTCTTGCACTTTCAAACTTCAATCAAGTGTTTAAGGTAAAGTGTGATGCCTCTAATGTGGAAA